CGGGACCAGGCGTCCCGCCGCTCCAGTCCTCCGGGGCGAGAAAATCCCCGTTCGTAACTGCGGATCCGACATAAGTCGGATCCACGTAACTCGGGGACTGCCTGTATACAGAAAGCACATTATACCTCAACTAAGATTCAACCCACCACTCTGAACCAGTTGCTTAACTTGCTGTTTTGTACCTTTCTGGTCTTTGTTTTGGATACTGACTAGCATTCCTGTTGCAGATCTGTAAAGGGACCTCTCCAGCTTGCACCAGCACAGAGTATCAATGCATTTGGTCTTTGAGTGTTTACATAGCTAATTATGCTAAATGCTGTCTTGGTCCATTCCAAATTATCATGGGACATACCAGTAAACAGCTTTTTTGGGGGGAAAACAGTACAGTAGTTGGCATAACTGGCCAACTTTCATATGTACAGTATTTATACTATGTACTTAATATATGTTCATGAAGAGTTAGTTTTTATATAAATAAGCAAACACATACTTTGGCTGACAAAAGAGAAAAAATAGTGAACTCATCCAATGTGCCCCCAAAAAGACCAAGTATCTTCTTATGTACACATACTTCATTTCATACCTCAGTCTAAATGTAAACGAGTGGCCATATTAGCCCACTCTTGAAGGTTAGTGCTGTTGAATCCTGATGCAAGACTCCTGCCTTAGCAAAGCAACAACTTGGTTGAGATTTCAAAACAAAAACTTCAACATAACTTAGGTTAAAAAGTGGATTGTCCTTTTATACAGGTTTTTTTTTTTTTTTTTTTTTTAAGGGAAAAATATCTATTAACATTCCCAAGTAAAGTTTTATAACAATTTCTTCGCAGGTCAAGGTCTTCTTTACACAAATGTTAGCATAGATCAATTTTCTTTTGAAACCATCTACAGTGAAACCTTTGTTAACCAGAAAATGTTGTTAACCAGCATTGCCCCCAGCCACAATACTGTCACATCTCCAGGTGCACAGGCCTGGCTTGATTTACCATGATTGGCTTATCAATTTTAACTCAAAATTGAAATGTGTGACTAACTGCCTCATACTACAAAACTACTAATATTAAAAACTTGAGTTTTACTATTATTGTTCATTGGTTTTTCCTAGGTTGATGGGACCCTCAGATAACCGGAATTTTTAGATAACTGGAATGCCCTAATCCCCAAGTGGAATGCCCTAATACCCAAGCCGGATAACACAGGTTTTACTGTATTTAGACACCATACAGTAAAGGCTGACAGTATAAAAGGCACTGATGAATAAATATATCATGATAATCCTGCTGACTGGGGAAAAAGAGGGAGAGAAGGCAGCGGAGAGCAAAGGGGGCACTTGCACAAGGGCCCAGCATTTCAAAGGGGCCCAGAGTTCCCGGCCACTGAAGCTGTTGCTGCATGAGCTGTAGCCGTAGCTACAGATCCTTTTGAATTGCTACAGGATCACTGCTCCGTGGGGCTCTAAGGCCTGTGGGGAGCAAAGATCCAGCACCATGTTCTGGGTGGCACTAAGGACTGACTGCCTTCTGCCATGCCCCTTCTGTCCTAGGCCTCACCCCTTCCGGGGGCAGAACTGGCCCCCCAACCTATTCCCCAGGCCCACAGTGGGTGTTGGCCCTGCTATATCATGATGGCTGCAAATAAACTGATAAGAATGAGAACAGAAAAAGAAAATGCCATTACAAATCTAATAACTTTAATTTTTTTAATCTATCAAAATATCTGGGAATTTTTAAAGCTGAAGCATTTTCCACTCATCGTTTAAAACAGAGGTTCCCAACCTTTTTATGCCGTGGCTGGACAAACCCATTCACCAACTTTTCATGACCTGGTAACATCTTATTTGCATGTTTTCATATTCATTATGCAAATAATGAATATTCAAATTAAATATTACCATCCACCTAGCCCCAACCCAGCCCTTTGCTCCCCAGAGCCTAACACCCTTTGATTCCAAACCCTACAGCTCATGCCAACATCCTCTTGCCCTGTGACCCCACCACACCCTCACCCAACACCCGTTTTCCCCCCCTCCACCCCACCCACTCCTTCCCCAGAGTGAAACTGCCCCCTCTAGGGAATGTGGCCATACTGAGGCGTGGGCAAGGGAGCAGTCATCTCCTTCACATCCTCTCCAAGCATGTCTTGTGTCTCAACGGGTGGGGGTGGAGTGCAGAGCCCATTATCAATGGGGAATGAGGAAGGGAGGCGCCTCCTGCTCCACCTCCTGCTGCTGCCGCCTAAGCCACCATGGCTGCCAGAGCTGAGCCACCACGAACAGCCAGCTTGAGCTCTAACAACCACTACGGCCTGGCAGCCAGCGGTTGGGAACCGCTGGTTTAAAGCATCTGTTAAATTGTCTATATAGTACTTGAAAATTATTGCATTGATTATTCTGTTACCAAACGGTACACTCTTCAGATGTCTCTCCATTTTATACACTACTGACAAGCCCAGAATAAAAGGACACTGCTTAACTGGAGATTAGAGACAGAATATTGCCAAGCGTGTACTTGCAGCCAAATATAATGCATAGAGTGATTAAATCCTGATTACAAATTTTGCTTTCCACTTCCATTTTCATTTTAATGCATTGTTTACTGTATATTAATACAGGTTGGACCTCTCTGGTCCTGAATGAGGGAATTTGCCGTGCCAGGGCAGGCCCCTGCTATAGCTCCTCAGCTCTCCGCCTCTCCCTGCCACCGGCTCATTGCTTCTCCAATGGGCTGCCTCCTGACAGTCCCCAGCCCTGGACCCACTACCTGCTTGGCTGCCAGGGCCCTAGACCCACTTCTGGGTAGGGACCTAGCCCTGTTTTTGGGTGGGAGGTGGGCCCTAGCCCCACTGCTGTGGCCCTGGCCAGGCTTTTCCTGCATGTTTGCCACAGTCCTGGCCCCACGCCACCCAAGCGACCAGTGGCATAGCCGCACAGCGGGGTGGCACTCAGCCCCTGGAGGGCAGTAGTGGCCTTGGCCAGTATGCCTTTGCTGGGCTGCATTAGTTTCTCTGCTGTTTGGGCTGCCATAGCCTCAGTCGGGCTGCCAAGGCTCCAGATCCATTACCATCAGCCCACCAGGCTCCAACTGCTGGCCCTGCTGTCCTGAAGTGCTCTCGTCCAAAAACATCTGTGGTCCTTCCAGACTACGGATGTTGCCAGACCAGGGAGTCCCAGTTAAGGCAGGTATAACCTGTAGTTAATCATCTGAGAGATGCAATTTAAAAGAGATGAATGTGCTTTTATTTTAAAATATTAAAAGGTACCTGTGAACTATTTCTCTGTTCAGCCGGTCTTCCGCCTCTGGAAAATGTCTGAGGTTTTTCTATCCATGGTTTTTTCTGAGTTGCCTGGGAATTTACATTAGTCCAATTTACGGTAGCTGAAAGAAACAGAAGTTTGAAAATAAAATAAGAAGGAAAAGTCAGTAAGTACAGCAGAAGTTGTATTACATAGTATACACCACTGAACATTTGTCACTTCAAAGTAAAAGATCACACCAAAAACGTGATGTGAGTCTTGTAATAGTTTGGTCTCTGCCAAAAATTCAGTTGCATTCTTATTATTTCCAAAGTTTGATGAAAAAAATTGCTTTTAAGAACAGAATTCAGCCACAAACACTCATCTGCTAATAGTGAAGTTTGCTTACCTTGGTAAACATCTAATGTAATGTAGTTGCGTATTAGAGACAGTGAACTAGGGATATTAAATTTTGAGTTATTGACTAATCAAATAGTCAATGTCATTTGCATCCACTATTCAATTAGTCGATAGGGGGCCTCTGCCTTTGAAGTGTAGCAACAGCCTTAAAGCTCTGAGGGAAGCATGGGGCAAGCCTCTGCTGGCCCCATGGTCTCCACAATGCTTCAAAGTGGCTATGCGCATGCAGCCCAGGGCCACCTGCGATGTCGTCAGGCTGCACATGGTGTTTCAAAGCAGTCGCATCACATGGAGCCGGGGTCCGGCCTTAGGGCAAGAACTGGAATGGGTTACCTAGGGAAGTAGTGGAGTCTCCATCCCTAGTGGTGTTTAAGTATCAGCTTGACAAAGCCCTGGATGGGTTGATTTAGTTGGGATTGGTCCTGCCTAAAGCAGGGGGCTGGACTTGATGACCTTCTGAGGTCTCTTCCAGCTCTATGGTTCTATGATTCTGTGTGGTGGTGCTGCTGCTTTGAAGTACCCCCTCTGCATTCTCTCCCCTCCCCCCCCGCCCTCCTCCTTCTGATAGAGGAAGCAAGGGGGGGAGAAGCAACTAGTCTATCAACTAGTCGTTCACATCCCTACAGTGAACCACTCAAATTGACAGTTCTGCCCAGTTTCCAGAGCTGAAGTTAGTACAATTGCTCTAAAGTGACTTTTCCTTAGTTTTACAATAGTACTCAAAACTCCTGATCAGAATAAGAACCAACTTATTCTGTCCTGTACAACATACAATAAAAGTCACTGCTCCAAGTAGCTTATGTTCTAAATAGCAACACAATCAGAATCATAGAACACTAGAACTGGTCATCAAGTCCAGTCTCCTGCCTTCTTGGCAAGTCCAATCACGGTCTCGATCATCCCTGACAGGTGTCTGTCTAACCTGCACTTAAATATCTCCAGTGATGGGAGTTTCCACAACCCCCTAGGCAATTTATCCAAGTGTTCAACCAACCTAACAGGCAGGAAGTTTTTCCTAATGTCCAACCTTAACCTCTCTTGCTAAAATGTAAGCCCATTGCTTCTTGTCATATCCTCCGAGGCCAAGGAGAACAATTCCTCTCCCTCCTTATAACACCCTTTTAGATACTTGAAAACCGCTTATTATGTCCCCTCAGTCGTCTCTTTTCTCAACTAAACTAAACATAGTCTTCCCTCATAGGTCATGTTTTCTAGACCTTTAATCATTTTTTTTGTTCTTCTCTGGAACTTCTCCAATTTCTCCACATCTTTCTTGAAATGTGGTGCCCAGAACTAGACAATACTCCAACTGAGGCCTAATCAGCGCAGAGTAGAGTGGAAAAATGACTTCTCGTGTCTTGCTCACAACACTCCTTTTAGTGCATCCTAGAATCACATTTGCTTTTTTTGCAAGTGTCAAACTGTTGACTCATGTTTAACTGGACGTTCACTATGATTCCAAAATCCCTTTCAGCAGTACTCTTTCCTAGACAATCACGACCCATTTTGCATGTGTGAAACTGATTGTTCCTTCCTAAGTGGAGTACTTTGCATTTATCCTATTTGTCCTTCATCCTATTTACCTCAGACCATTTCTCCAGTTTGTCCAGATCATTTTGAATTATGACCCTATCCTCCAAAGCTGTTGCAACCCCTCGCAGCTTGGTATCTGCAAACTTAATAAGCGTACTCTCTATGCCAATATCTAAATTGTTGATGAAGACATTGAACAGAACCAGTCCCAAAACAGACCCGTGCGGAACCCCGCTTTTTATGCTCTTACAGCATGTTTGCAAACCATTAATAACTACTCTATGAAAATGGTTATCCAGCCAGTTATGCACCCACCTTACAGTAGCCTCATCTAGGTTGTTTTTTCCTAGTTTATTGAGAAGAAGGTTATGCAAGACCATGTCAAATGCCTTACTAAAGTCTAAGTATACCACATTCACAGCTTCTTCCTTATGCACAAGGCTTGTTGTCCTATCAAAGAAAGCTATCCAATTGGTTTGACATGATTTGTTCTTTACAAATCTATGCTAGCTGTTACCCATCACCTCACTTTCTTCCAGATGTTTGCAGATGAATTCCTTAATTACTTGCTCCATTATCTTTCCTGGAACAAAAAGTTAAACTGACTGGTCTGTAGTTTCCTGGGTTGTTCTTATTTCACTTTATATAGATGGGCACTAGATTTGCCCTTTTCCAGTCTTTTGGAATCTTTCCTGCCATCTGTGATTTTTCCACAGATGATAGCTAAAGGCTGAAATACCTCCTCTATCAGTCCTTGAATATTATAGGATGCATTTCATCAGGCCCTGGGGACTTGCAGACATCTAACTTTTCTAAGTAATTTTTAACTTGTTCTTTTATTTTAACTTCCAAACGTACACCATTTCCACTAGCATTCACTATGTTAGGCAGCCTGTCATCATCCATCTTCTTGATGAAAACCGAAACACAGAAGTCATTAAGCACCTCCTCCATTTCCCAGTTTCCTGTTACTGTCCCTCCCTCCTCACTGAGCAATGGGCCTACCCTGTCTTTGGTCTTCCTCTTTCTCCTATTATTCTTGTAGAACGTATTATTTTACACCCTATGCCTCTAGCTAGATTTAGCTTTGTGCCTTTGCCTTTCTAATCTTGCGCCTGCATATCTGTGTTTTGTTTATATTCATCCTCTGTAATTTGACCTAGTTTCCACTTTTTATACCACTCCTTTTTGACTTTTAGATCGTGTAAGATCTCCCGGTTGATCCAAGGTGGTAATCTTTCCTACCCAATGGAAGCGTTTGCTTTTGGGCTCTTAATCATGTCCTTTTAAAAAACTGCCAACGCTCTTCGATTGCGTTTCCTCCGAGTCTTGCTTCCAATGGGACCTTACCTATTAGCCTTCCTGAAATCCAATGTCTCTATTTTGCTGTCCTCCCTTCTACCATTCCTTAGAATCATGAACTCTATGATTTCATGGTCACTTTCTCCCAAGCTGCCTTCCATTTCAAATTTTCAATATACAGTAAACTTCCGATAATCCGGCACCTTTGGGACCCAGGGGGTGCCAGATTATCAGGAGGTACTCCGGAAGGGGAGCTGTGAGGGGTCTGGGGGAGGGAGGGAGGGAGGGTTGGCAGGGAACGGCGCGGCATGGGGCAAACCCTCCGCCGTTATGCAGGGAAGCGGAGGAAGCCCCGCGCAGACGCCAGCAACAGGCCAGCTGGGGCTGCAAACGGCAGCGGCAACTTGGGGAAGCGGCGGGGCAGAGCAGCTGGGGTGTTGCCGGGTTGGTCCCGCAGCGCGCCCGCCGCTGCCGCTGCTGAAACTAATCAGCGGCAGACTTGGGGAAGCTGTGGAGCAGAGCAGCTGGGGTGCTGCCGGGCGCCGAGCAGGGGGGTGAGGGGCAGCATTGCGGGACCAACCCGGCAGCACCTCAGCTGCTCTGCGCTTCTTCCCCAAGTCTACCGCTTGTCAGTTTCAGCAGCGGCAGCAGCGGACTTGGGGAAGCTGTGCGGAGCAGCTCCAATTGTCCGGCTGGCCGGAGCACTTTCAGGTTCCAGTTGGTGACGGACTATCGGGAGTGCCGGACCACTGGATGCCAGAAAATTGGAGTTTTACTGTAACAATGAAGGTAGAACACAATGGGGAAAGAAAAGTGTCAAAGACAAGGTTGCATTTATTCTCATCTGAAAATATCATCTGAAAGCCTCAACTTTTTTTTCCTTCTTTAGAGGGACAATTGCTATTAATGAATCATTACCAAGCCACTGACCTATTCATTATCATTGAGCAACTCGTTATAGAAATTGCAGCACAGAAAGGTCTCCAGAAGGGATCTGAAGGAGCACAGTTTAAGATCTACATAATTTAGAAAGGACACAGGAATATTGCTAAGACAACATAAATAAAGATATATTAGAACAGGAAATATGAGAGATTCAAGATTTCCTTTGCAAGTTAAAAAAACCCAGAAACTATACCTGTATTTATTGATGGTTCTACAATCTGAAAAGGAAGAAAGAACATTTTAGTAAATATTTTTATTGTAGCATTCACCAACAGCCTTGGCTCTTCACTAATGTTCACTTACATTCATTGCACCAGAATCTGTATTTTTTGAAGTCATGACAGCAGCAGCCTGATTGTTGCTATGTTTAGGACTGCAATAACCACTATCACTGTCAATATCGGCTTCACTGGCACCTTGTTCACTGGAAGACTCTGCAGCAGGATGGGATGCACGTCTTCGCCTGCCTTTTGATTTCCACAGCATTGTACTAGAGCTCTCAGAAAGTGACTTATTAGCTATCTCTGAAGGAAAATCTGTAAGACAAAGAAAATATAACTGTGCGTGGCAGTTGTTGGAAAATTGAAAAAAACTGCTAATCGTATATTAACATTTGTGATGAAAACACTAAACCCACTGAAAAGAAATCTTAACCAAGATACTTCCAAACTAGTAGAAAGAGAAATGTACTGGCAGTGCTGTATGAAATAAGCAGCAAGATTCAGTTTTCAGACTATTTCCAGGTCTACCTGTGTTGTACTAACGGACCCCTTGCTCAAGATGCAACCTATTTCTCGCAATGGAATTTGTTGCCAGTAACAAAAGTCTTAAAAAAACAAGGGAGTTCAGGAATACCAAGCAGGTTGTCAAGGCAAAATTTTCACTGCATTCTGGGTCTCTGAATAGCCCATATAGCAAGATTCTTGCAATTATTGCTCAAAGTGCAGAAGTGGAATGAACAAACATATGCACGCACACCACCCCAGAAGATACATAAAATAGAATTTATGAAAAAGCCTTGCGATATTTTTCTCTGTATCAAACCCAATGTACTGTGTAGTTTTTAGAAGTGCTCTCAGGGAAAAAAGTTCCAAAGACCACTCTTGGAAGAGATTCAGCCTTCTCCCAATCCAGTGAATTTTAGTATTACTGAAAAGTTCCAGATTGATGCTACTAGAAGTTGCCAAAGTACACACCGAGTAAAGACACTAAAAATGCAATTTCCCCACACTGCCTCCCAAAGTTCCTTAACATTAGTCTAATGGGAGGTATTAGCTGCAATTGCCAAGAAGAGTTCTAATTAGTGTGCAAGTGTGATAACCAATAGAAACCGAACAGATTACCATTCATTTCATGTAGACTTCAGGCAGCCAGATAGTAACACTTGGGCAGAAGAAAATTTCTAAAGATAGGTCATATTTTGACCTTGATATTGACTGTTTCTATTCAAAACAACAATGGAAAGGAAGACTAACATAACGCAGTAAGTAAAATGACAGTTTTAACACATGCCTGCTAAAATCTTACCAAATTTTAAGCTTATTGTCATGCAATTAATAGTTACTATTTCTCTGCAGCAAGTGATGTTAAACCTTCAATAATGAGGTTTTTTTTTTCTGGTTAAGGCACATAACTGACTAAAGTTCCAGACTGATAAAAAAATCACACCTGCCCTACTACTGACTACATGCTACAAAAATGCTTGCAGATTCAAGATTTCTAACTGACACCCAGCCTCAACCAAAAATATATCTGGTGCTCAATTATCAGTCCTGCCACAAGTCTAACACACTTCCTTACTATCTTTCTAGTTATTTAAAGACTCCATTATATTGTTTACAAGGGTTTCCCACTCCCGACCCAAACATTTTCCAACATTTCTAAAAACATGATTCTTACCCTAGACTAACAATAAAATAATCAGTGTTTACAGCCTTTGATTCATTAGCAGCCTTACAATAAATTAAATGCACACAGTGGAGAAGTTTGAGTGAGCAGGTAAGAAATGTGGGGGGGAGATTTCCTGTTCATCAAAAACTGCGGTTTGAGGTTCAGGAATTTTTTCTAAATAGTTAAATAGCATTGCTTTCTTAGAAGTCCTGAGTGTGTCCTTTTAGCTCCAAGAGTTAAAACCATAACTTCAGCTAAATGGATTCCTATCTGGAGTCTCCATTCCCATTCAACTTGACAGAACTAAGCTCTAGATAAGACTTACCCAGTGTTTCCAGGGTCTATATGGGCAAGCGGCTGGCAGTGTGGGGTGTGCAAGACTCAGGGCTTTGGGAATGTGTGTGTGGGGGGAGTGAATGAGACTGGGATGTAAGAGAGAAAGAAACTGAGTATTTGGGGGTCCCAGCTTCCAGGGGCCATTTTTCTCACCTTCCTCCGGTGCTGTAGCCAAGGGCTGGGAGGAGGGGAAAGGGTTTGAGGCAGAAAGGCTACTTACATAGCGTGCTGGCTGACAAGACTGCAGAGACTCAGCACTGCTGGCCACTACCTTAGTGGTATGGCCGCCCCTCGTGGCCACTCTCATATCACATCCCTCTGAAAAGCAGCCCCTCCCTTTGCATGTTATGGAAAACTGTCCTTTTCCTGGGATTTCCAGTCATCTTGGAACAACCAAACCCCAACCTTGTTTTAAGACAGAACAGGAAGCTGTATATCAAATATGGTGGCCATAGTGCTTATAATTTAGGAGGAGGACTTGAGCAAATGGACTTGCAGACACACACACACACAAATGCCCTCTACACTATATATCTAGACTAGAGAAATTAGGTTAGACAGATTCATTTAGATTTGGAATCTTGTCAGGCCACTAGGGATACATTTACACAGCAAGACTAAAGTAGAATTAAACTATACAACTTTGCATCGCTTAAGTCGAAATAGCTTAACTGGGCTTTTGGCGCTGTCTACACAGTGGGAAGTCGAAGGAAGAACACTCTTATTTCGACTTCCCTTACTCCTCATGAAATGAAGGTTACAATGAGTTGAAGTAAGAAGTCCTCCAGCTTCCCATTATTTTGGAATAAAGGCTTGTAGTGTAGATACGAATATTTTTATTTCGGAATGTCAGTTATTTAAAAATAGTGCTGCTGTGTAGATGTACCCTACTGATGCATCCCAATAACCCTCTTTGCGGAAGTAGTAAGGAACCTTTAATAGTTAGTCACTGTGTCTCTCCAGCAGCATTCCTATGATGAAGAACTGATTAGGTGGCATTTTTTACGCTCTCAAACTTAATGAGTCAACCACGTTTTCTACAACACTTCTTTGATCATTAAAGATCATTAGACATCTTATAGTATCAACCTTCCTTAAATTTACGATCTGACTAGATCAGTAATCATGGTGGTATGATTGCAGTTCCAGTTTGCTAGCGGGTACCAAAAAGACATCTTACCTGTTTGCTGAGATGCATCAACCAACAGCACAATTTTTGATCTGCTCTCAGGACCTGATGCACTGGTCTCTTTTTGAATCGCTACGCTTTTCACTGGAGCCCTTTTACTTTTTATGTGTGTCTGTAACTGTAGTTGCTGTTTTAAAACAGTCAAATATATGCATGAGACATATAACTTAAATATGACAGTTAAAAATTGTTTAGTTAGTGTTATTACAATTTTTATAAAGTTCTAACAGATTCTTTATAGACGTCACCCATTTGAAGTAAGAGATTTTGGACAATGTACTCCAGTAGTTCACAAGGTTAATATTATCTTGGATAACATTCCAACATAAAAAACCAAAAGCAATCAAACCTGCCAATTTAAAGAAGATTTTAATATCTACAATGCAGGTTAGTTTATACAGCTACTACATTACTGTTAGTCAAGAAGTTTTGGAGACTATTACCTATGCAACTAATGCCAAATACACCTAACCTCCTCCTCTCCCCCCCCCCCACACTCCTGAGCATGGGGGGCTGCCACAAATCAGCCTCACCTGTAGCGGGCCCTGGCATCCTGCAGAGCAGCCTCCATCCACTGCAAGCTTAGGCCCACTGCATGCAAGGGCTGCTTCACAGGGGCCAGCTGGCAGCTAGGTGGGCAGCAGAGAGGAGCCCTGACTCACTAGCGCTAGGGGGGCAGCAGCAGAGCAGGGAGCCCCGAGCCAGCAGCAGGGCAGCCAGCAGGGGAATATTGACCTCTTTTGGTCCAGAAAGCTCTCTGGTCTGGGACTGCTCAGGTCCCGAGGGTTCTGGACCAACAAGGTCCAACCTGTACACTGTCACTGTGTTATTTTACATATTTTTTCTATACTGCTGAACAAGAAGATAAAAAGTAGTTCATTTTTGTGCAAAGATACTTTCACATGATTCTATTATTTGTTCTATTAGGGCTCAAAAACAACATGCTTACTTTTTGTGTAGCTGGTCCTCTGTTATTGCTTTTGCTTCTCTGTCTGGATAATGGAAAGACCTGTGCTGGTTGGTTTGGGCGATCAGCACATTCTGTTGTAACTGTATTTACAGCACTTGGTGTCTGAAAGGGCGCAGAGTAGGGTGCAGGAAAAGGATGATAGAAACCCATAACTTGTGCACACGGTGCTGGCATAAACTGGTAATAAGTATACTCTGTGGAGACAGGTGGTTGAGCAGATATAATAGGATAAGCAAGGTATGGTCCTGCAGGGTTTGGGTTTGGCTGCTGCCATCTGATTTCATTATTATATAATGGAAATTGTCTGAAAAACCAAAAGAGAAAGAGAATAAAATTGCTGAATAGTTACACATAATTGGAGTAAATTTACTAGTAACTTAATCCTTTATTTTGAAAAGAATTAGTGCAAACTGTTTCATGAGCTCTTAGCTTTTAATAGCTCAACTCAAATGCTGTTACATTCCTAGTGTGCAATAATATATATTTTGACAGTATGCCTGAAATAATATATTTCCAACTGCAATCAAGGATACTGCACAAAATACACAGAATACTGTTGGAAATAAAACTACGCAACCTAAAGATTTAAATTTTATGAAGCAAAAGAATTTATACCAATGTTATACTAAGTAATTAAAAAATAGGCCAGAAGAAACCAACATCTTAGTATGGCAAAATAACTGTCAAGAAAAAATTATGTTCACCATAATAGAGAAAGCTGCTTAAAGAAACCATTCCAATTAGAGACACTGATATATATTTATAGGTGTTCATATTCTAATTTAAATTATTTTAACACATCTGAAAAAAAAAATGGAATAAAAACACACATACCATGTACATTTACAGATAGATATGGCAGCAATAGTTCAGTCTTACATTCTCATACTAATGCAGGACAAATAATTTTTTGATAGGCAAAGGAAAATAAGCCATCAGCTCACATTTTGTACCAGGCTCCTAGGTTCCCAGTCTTTGAGAGTGACTGTAAAAACAAACACCTACTACTCAAGTAAGCTCTCTCTACTCCTTCAAGCACAGAGCAAGTGCAGTGGTCTCACTCTGTTTCTCCTCACCCCCAATTCTATTCAACTGAGTACAACCAAAATAGTCCCACTGGAAATATGAATCCAATTCCCCGCCTCTCCATAGGATTAGGAAGACTATTGGGTGAAGATGAACAAAGACTGAAGATGTGTGTTCAAAAGAGAAGGGAAGATAAGAGCAAAAATTCAAAATAACTGTACAAATCCGCACAAGCCACTTCCTAGGAGGGGAATTGTTAAGTAGAGCCCTGTGCGTGATCAGTGTAAAGCTCTGCCGCAGGACTGGGATTTTATCCTACATAGGAACACATATATAGAGAAGAGAAGGGTCTTCATGACTATATAACTGGCAAATGGCAGAGCTGGGACTAGAATAAGGGTTTCTGGTGTCTAATCCCTTCCCATGCTCAGTTTAATATACCGTGCTGTTTTGCACATGTACTTGCAAATAAAGTTAGCCATGGGAAGGCCTCAGACTGCTAACAGCATACTGTTTTACCATATAAGGATCCAGGCTAGACTTTTTTCTGTAGTACCTTATTTTAGATGTGGGAGGATACAATTCAGAGGTATCTCGTTTAAAGTTTCAGAATAGAGCAAGTGGTTTCAAGAAAGATCTGTGGCCAGCCCTCTGACCAAAACAAGAAAGAACAAGGAATCCAAGAATGGAGGGGATTAAAGGAGAAAAATAGGGAGGACATTGTCTAGAGTCATAGAAATGCTATCCTCATTCATGAGGGGTAGAAAAACAAATAAGTGCAGCGAGCAAGTTCTCAAGCTTATCACTAATTGTATGAAAACTGTTTATATAGTCACTTTCTTAATTTCATGCACATCTTTGACAGAAGGGAATTTTTCAAACTCTTACTTAAAAGTCATCTTTTTCCATATAGAATCAGAACCATAAATTACCTGTTGGCCTGGTTTTCCTGTACAAACGGGTAGCAAGTAATCAGGTAGCTGGGAATAGGAGTTGGTTCCACTCCACTAACACCTCCACAGTCATTGGGGAGAGCCATAGATATCATAAGTGTATCAGGGCCTTTCTTCTGAGGAATAAATGGTTCTACTTCAGCTGATAGCTTCACATTCTTAAGATATGGGGAAAAAAACACAGTATAGAACATTTTGAGAGTCAGTGGTTAAACAACAAGTTAACAAAATGCTAGTAATTATTCTGCAAATCATTAACAGATTATCTTTACTCAGGGCATTTGACACAGATTTTTTTAAATCATATAGGGAACTGTCAATTTAAAATTTAAGTAATGACCAACCTGTTTCCACAAGTCAACATTTATACTTGGAAAATGCATTTTAAAAAGTATTATCTGTCCTAAGTAGGGATATAAATGAGCAACTAGTTAACCTTACTGGTAACCAGTTAGCTAAGGTAACCAGTACTGGTAACCTTAACTGGTAACTGTCGCAGGGCTAGGAGCTGGTAGCCAGCAGCTGAGCCTTGCTGTTCACCTTGTAACTGATAAAGAGTCCAAAATAAACTTGAAAACCATTTTAAGAAAAACAGCTCAAACAACATTTACTAGTTATAAATATGAAAAAATAATGGTATTTATGAGAAAACCTAACTACTTCCCTTATATTCTTTTGAAGAAACCATTCAGCCAGTAATAAGTAAACTGGAGCAAAAAGCATTCCTCTTTCCCCTCTGTTGATGGCCTCTGGCAGCGAGTTCTCAAATTGTGAGGTGGGCCACTCACAACCCTGTTTAATGTGGTTGCCACGGTTGATGGAAGAGCAATCACTCTCACCCTCTTTTCCTTTTCTCTCTTTACTCTTCAAGATTATAAATCAAACATCATTATCTCCATTAAACAAGCTTCTGAAGAACTTACAATCTTAAAATTCACTTGGATGCATTGCATTTAATACAAGTATCAGAAGATCAATCAGCCTGTTGATGCGGGTGGATTTTTGGAGTGATCTGAATGAAGTGGAAAACAATTGACAAATGTTGATTGGAAGGATGCAAAAAACATAGGAGCTGGCATGGAACTACATCACATGGCATTAGTGCTGTCCATTTTCAAACCTCCATATAAACACCATTTTAAAAAGGACTGGAATTGGGAGTTTTGCAAAGAAGGCAATAATCAGGAGAGAGAATAGGATGGAGTGTATAAAGACACTAAGTTAGAGGTGTAGATGGGGCACCATTGTGCAGGCTTTCATAGTTGCATCTGAACTGAAAACATTATGTGATAGACAATGAAACTTGGTCTACACTTCAAAACTAACTAGACTCGGAGGCAAAACTCAAATCTTAAAAATGGTTTCAGCTAACAGTTTTGCTGCTAGTATGGATTTAACATTACTAAGAAAAGTTTTATTCCATAAATAATTTTTGAGTGTTTCAAGAACATTAACAAATTTTGCCCTGGAGATTACATAAAAGCACATAACTAAAAATCAATTTTATCAGACTGCATTTTCAATGTAATTTTAAAGATGAAGCCCAAAAATGAGTTTTCTACAAAACTGCTAAATAATTTTGCCCTTTTGAAAAAAAATAGGTGGGCTCAAGATCTGGAATGATTTCACTCTGAATTACCAAAAAAGATAACTTTGCACCCATACTCAATACACTGTCAAAGGCTCCTGAAATGACAGACTCCTAGAAATCAATTATCTTGAGGGACTAGACTCAAATTTGGTTATTTGTGGAAAGTGAATTTCTAAGCCTGCTTTATTCTTAATAGGCATGCAAAACAGTAGTCAATTAATTGACTATCTGATAAGCTTAAACTAGGGGCAGGGACAGGGGAGCTAGGGAAGTCTCCTCCGATGCCAGGGGCACGGGCACCTTGGGGGAATGTGGGGTGGGGGCAAAAGCACTCCACCCCCAGACCAATCACTGTCTGAGGGGTGGGGAACCCGGAAATATCTTGGCCATGCCCCTTTCTTTGCGGCCCGGGATCACTTCAAAAATTTCCAAAGTGGCCCCTGGAAAAAATTATTGTCCACCCCTGCTCTATCAGATGCAGCAGGCAGGGGGAGGTGGAGGGGAAGCAGCTCCGGAGCAGCCCCTGGCCATGGCCAACCCCAGCAGCAGCCCCTGTTGGGATCCTCGCAGACAGGGGCTGCTAGACACAACACGTAACTGGGACTGAGCGTGCCCAGCTCAGTTCCGACTCATGCCAGGTCCAGGAGCTACCCCCGCTGCAGCTTTGTAGTTTACATTTAGTAGGAGCCGCAGCAGGGGGTAGCTCTTTCTGAGGGTCTTCCCTTATCAACAAATTGTGTATTGACTACATGATTACTCAATTACCCATCTCTTAACATCCTTCATTCCTCATCCAAACAAGAACTCCAGTTGCAACAAATGACATTTTGCCACTTGAAAGACACATGAACCCTGATAGTGATGTTGGCTGACAGGTGAAGTTCAATTGTTGTGTTCAAGTTCTAAGAGTCTATAAACTTATTTAAAAAAAAAAAAAAAACCTGGTTGTTTTCCTGGCACTGCTTGCCTGGGTTTGGGATCATAAATGGCTCTTGTATACAGTAATTCCTCATTTAACACTATAGATATGTTTCAGAAAATGATCGTGTTAAGTGAAAACGTGTTATGCAGGGTCATTTTCCCATTGAAAATAATGGAAAAGGTGGGGGTTGTGTTTCAAGCGGTGGTGTCCATTGGGACCGGGACATAAGGTTGGGGGAGAAAGGGGACTGGGTTACAGCAGGGAGGTGTTTGGCTCTGGGGAAGGGCAAGAGAGGAGAGGGGAGGGAGACTGAGTTGGACGTATGCCCCTGTGATAGGCCTGCCAGGACCCGCACTGCATCTGGCGAGGGGTCACCGGGGAATGGCACAGCGAGCAGAGAACCTGCCGCCACTTTGCAGGGAGGCGAGAGAAGCCCCGCCCAGCTGCTGGCGACGGGTTGGCTGGGGAAACCCAGGCACTGGCCTGCAAGCAGGGGTGGAGGAAAGGAGGCAAGGTGTCCAGCGAGAGGGAGTCAGCAGGGAATGGCGTGGCAAACAGCGAACCTTCCGCCGCTTTGCAGGGAGGCGGGGGAAACCCCATGCAGGCGACAGGCCGGCTGGGGAAACCCAGCCACCGGCCTGCAAGCGGGGGTGGAGGAAAGGGGGCAAGGCGTCTGGTGAGAGGGAGTCAGTGGGGAACAGCACGGCGAGCAGCGAACCCTCCACCACTTTGCAGGGAGGCAGGGGAAGCCCTACACAGCCACCGGCAATGGGCTGGCTGGGGAAATCGTGTTATTCTGGGGACAGTCGTGTAATTCAAAAAACGTTCCCTAAAAAAATCGTGCTATCGCAAAAATGTGTTAAGTGGGCATGTGTTAAATGAGGCATTACTGTATTTCAAAAGCAGAATCTCAGCAGAAGCAGCGAAAGCAGAGACTGCTTCAGTCCCCGCTCGCACCATTTCCACTGTGCTTCTACCTCTCCTGCCCCGCGTGGAGATGGGGCTGGGGAGAACCAGCTTTTAAACTGGTTCCCCCCAGCACTGGCTCCTGCTCCCCCACCCCTACTGTCTCTCTCTGATAGTAACAGCAAAGGGGGTGGAAAGCGACTAGTTGACTAGTCTCTGACATCCCTACCACTGCCTACCTCAGGGGTGGGCAAATACCAGTCCTTGGGCGAAAACCCGTCTGCCAGGGTTAGCCCGACAGGCCCCCAACATCACCATATTTACCTGCACCTCTGAAGGCATGGGGGACTCTCAGCTCCCACTGGCCACAAATCACCATTCCTGGCCAATCGGAGTTGCCAGAGGTACCTCCAGAAGTGCAAGTAATTATACTGGCAGTGGCCCACCAGAAGCTAACTCTGGTGACTGCAGTTGTTTTATTACCCACCTCTGACCTAGTCATCTGTACCACTGTGGGGTGCCTGAAGTCAAATGTCTTAGACTGAGAATGTGTTCCCAGCAGTGATGTGGGGAATGTATGTGGAAATATGGAGATCATTCCTTGATGTTAGGTCATAGTAGAAATCTGTCATTAAGATGACTCTTCTGTATTCTTTACCTTTCCTTTCATAAACTCCACCACTTTTCATAGTTCATTTTATCATGGCATAGTCTTAATAGTTGATGAGCCACATCATTAACTAAGGAAGAGGTTTTTGATTTCCTGTAAAGAGGGCACTGCATTCTGTAGTCTGTCTCCAATTCATTGAGATTATTTCTACTTATTAAGGCATCTGGAAAACTATTCTGGTTTCATACATTGCAAGGCCAGAGGGCTCCATAGTGATTATCTAGTCTGACTTTATGTGTAACACATGCCACTGAAATCTCCAAAAATTATTCCTAAAATTTTTTTAGAAAAGCATGCACTTTTATTTAAAATGGTCAATGAAGGAGAATTCATTACAACACATGGTAAATTGTTACCCTCACTATCAAAAAAATATGTTTTATTTACACTCAGCCTGTTAAATTTTAACTTCCAGTCACTGGATTATGTTGTAACATTTTCTGCTGGATTGAAGAAATCATTATTAAATATTTATTTCCCTTATAGATACTTACAGACTGTAATCAAAACAAATAAATGAATAAGATTTATCAAGATAAGGAGATTAAGCTCTTTTGGTCTATCATGTTTACAATCTATTAATAATGCTCATGGCTCTTCTCTGACCTCGGGATGTGAGTCGACTACTCTCATTTCTCCCTTCCCTTGCTGCCTTTATATCAGAGGCAGCAGCATGGGGAGAGAGGGCAGGGGAGGCTGCCATGAAGCAGCCTTGACCAGTGGCAGGCCCAGACTTGCTATGAGAAGAGGCTGCTCTGCAACCCCTGGAGCAGCCCCTGTGTGTGGGGAGAGTGGAGGGTCCCATCAGGGAGCTGGGATACACAAACACACACTAAGGATGTTAAAATGCGGTTAATTGGCTAGTCAACGGAATTTCCATCAACTAGTCTATAGGCACTTCCGCATTCCTCCTTTGAAATGTACAAGAGCCCCCATTGGGAATGTGGAACTCGGAATAGTGGATAGTTTTTTTTACTAGTGGACTAGTTGATAGGCGCTTCCGCATTCCTCCTTTGAAATGTACAAGGGCCCCCCACTGCGCTCTTTTACATTTCAAAGGAGGAATGCGGAACTCCGAATACAGTCCGGGGCCAGCGGGAAGTCCTGCTGACTCTGGGCTGCATACAGGTGCCATCTTTGAAATGCGCAAGAGTCCCCAGCAGGGGCTCTTGTGCATTTCAAGGCCATGGAGCCCGGGATCAGCTGGGGACTCCCCAGTTGATCCCAGGCTCCCAGAGTATTTCCCCAGAGGGATTCCTCAGCTGATTCCGGGCTTCCCACAGTATTTCCCCAGAACCCAGGATCAGCTGGGTTCTGGGGAAATACTCTGGGAGCCTGGGATCAACTGGGGAGTCCCCAGCTGATCCCGGGCTCCATGGCCTTGAAATGCACAAGAGCCCCTGCTGGGGACTCTTGCGCATTTCAAAGATGGCACCTGTATGCAGCCCAGAGTCAGCAGGACTTCCCGCTGGCCCCGGACTGTATTCGGAGTTCCGCATTCCTCCTTTGAAATGTAAAAGAGCGCAGTGGGGGGCCCTTGTACATTTCAAAGGAGGAATGCGGAAGCGCCTATCAACTAGTCCACTAGTAAAAAAAACTATCCAATAAGCAAATGCTTATCGGATAGTTGACTAGTCTTTAACATCCTTCACTCACTCACACACACACACCCAGCCGACAGGGGCTCCTGGACCCAGCATGGGCCAGGACTGAGCAAGCCCGGTTCAGTCCTGGATTGTACTGGGTCTGGGACCTACCCCTCCTGTGGATCTGTATTTTAAATGTAGTTGCTCTTACTACATTTAAAATGCAGAACCACAGTGGGGGTAGGTCCCAGACTCAGCATGAGCCAGGACTAAGCAATCCCAGCTCAGTCCTGGCTTGTGCTGGACCCAGGACGTACCCCAGCTGCGGCTCTACAGTTTAAATGCTGTAGGAGACAGGCTGCCCACACACCTGGCTCCTACTATATTTGAAATGCAGAGCTGAAAAAGGGGGGTAGCTCCTGGACCCAGAGCGAGCCGGGGCTGAGCACCTTATTGACTAATTGTGTAGTCAATACAAACTGTATTGTTATATGATTAGCCAAATACCCACCTCTTAACATCCTTACTTTGACCCCACTCCATGTCCTCATTATATCAATATCCTTCTTGAATAGGGCCACCAGAACAGGACACAGTATTTCAATGGCAGTCAGACAGTGCCAAATACAAAGATTAAATAGCCTCTCTACTCCTACTCAAGATTCCACTGTTTAGGCACCTCAGGATTGCACCACCCTGTGTGTTCACGTTCAGCTGATTATCTTCCACAACCCCCTGTATCTTTTCCAGAGCTACTGCTTCCCAGAATAGAGTCCTCCACCCTGTAAGTATGACCTACATTCTTTGTCCCTAGATGTATACATTTACATTTAGCAATATTAAAATACATATGGTATGCTTTGGCCCCTTTTTCCAAATGACCCAGATTGCTTTGATTATCTTGTCCTCGTTATTAACTATTCCTCTAATTTTTGTGTCAAAATGAAGACCAAATATACAATCTCCTCTAACAAAAATCTCATGATTTTTGGGGAAACTTGCTCATGATTTTTAAACCTTTGAGGCTACAATATTGGAAAACATTTCTTAATTTTATAGGGAAGAGAGTTTTGCTCTTCATATAGATGTTCAGTTCAACTTACAAAACATTATGCAGTAGCTCATTATATATTTCAGTTCAACAATTACAACTCTACCAAGATGGCATATATAATGAAGAGTCCCTTTGTCTTCTATAGGAGAGCTACTGTAGTCATCAACAGCTGCAAAGACAGAAGATGACACTAACAGGACCAGACTGATAAAACTTTGTTCTATAGTTACAGCACTGTATGTTTAATCTTAGAAAAGTTTTTGTTCATTGTAACTTAATGTCATTCAATATTACCCATTAAAATAGGACATGTCTT